CTTTCATAGAGGGTCAGTAAAAATGGCATACAACTGTGGGCGGAAATGTTTTTATGGTGTTTGCCAAAGCATTTCCCACCAGCAGTTGTTTCGTTGCTGCACTTAAGATTCGTGATGGGGTTGGCTGCAGGCAAGTACTACTTTTAAATTAACATGTCTTCAGCAATTCACATCCATGTGACATATTATTCCATTTTTTCAAAATAGAATCAGGGTAATAAAATGAATGTGGTATGATTGGACTCAGGATTGTCAATAGCTTGAAGATGGATTGGCTCTTCCTAAAGGCAGGAATCGGATGATATCCTCGTACATATGATGCACTCTGGCATAAGTATACCGGAACACTACGCATGATTGCGACTAAATCCTGCAAACAGATTGTTTCAGCCATTTGCCTACAAACGGTATGGTAGAAATGAACAGCGAAGTTGTTGGTCGATGGAAATGGTATTTTTGCTGTGACTGGGAATAGAACCAACAAACAGCAACATGGCACCGATGTCCACTATATAATGCTATTCTGATAGTACCGTGTAGATATGCGTTTTATGGTAGACAGTATAAAGGTGATTAGCACTAGTGAAATTTATTAATTGTCACCCCATCTTGTGAATTTGGCTTTCATTGGTGTTTGTACAGTTGGCATTTTATCTCGTCGGCTCGCCGGTTATTTTCATCTGTATGGCAGGTGTGAACGTAGCGCCTTCCATGCCATATTTAGGATCCCATCATCAGGTGATGAACGTGTAGTTTCTCTGTGACTAAATTAATGTAGCAATTGCAGGCTTTCATGCAGAGTTTCTGTGATATATCGAACCACAGCCAGTCTGATGCGTCCGACTATGACTACGTAAGCTTGAAGGCCGTTATGTTGTAAAGTGATGGTTTTTCTAAATGTGGGACCGTACTTGAAACGATGGAAGTAAATGGTTCATATTTAATAATTATGGTAACGAATCAAAGCAGGATTAGCACTGATTATATACTAAGGTTGTCTCGCGAGATGGCAAATGATTTGTTAACAGTAGAACAGATTACAGGATATTTGGAAGATAATTTGCGGCAATGTGCGCATTGGAAATGGTGAATTGGCAAAAGTGAAACACGGAAGGCAGCTGGAAATTGCCTTAGCTTCGGCGGTTAACGGGTCCGATTACCTTCTGTGTCGATGCAATGCTTCATAAGACGAGATAGTAATTATTTATTAGGCAGTTTCATACATGTTCTCTAGGATATTCAACATAACACTGAATTTAGGTGCTAGCTGCTCCTTTCATGAGGCTGATCTTGAGAATTCCCAGAATCCGACTATAATGTCTGTAAAGTTGGTTCAATAAAGCACTGTTAAATTGACCTGTCAGGTTTTGCGGTTGAATATTCCGTTGCAGTCCATATGCGGTGGCGATATTCCCACACATCGCTGTGATGCATGTGATTTCCTTTTGAAGATAGGCGATTCACATTGAATGTTGCAAAAGATGAGGAACTGGACTAAAGTAGCCGCAAGCCGTTTAATCTACCGAAAAATTAGACCTGTTCGATTGATTGACATTATGCAGTATTTGTAGTGGCAGTGATGTTAAAGGAATTTAGTTTTGTTTAATTGTCTGCTTCGTGTCAATGGTTATAAAGGTAGGATTATTTTAGCTGAGATATGAAGATAAGTAACGCTGTTTTTGTACCTGTAGAGTATTTTAAATAGATATTTATCAAGTTTGGCTTTAGGGGTAACTGCTGCGTCATTGAAGTAAGAACCTGTTCCTATCATTGATAGATGCATACCGTGTGCTGCGGGCGGTGGACCAAGACGCAAGACTATCCCGAAGAATGAAGACCAGCCAGTAATTACCATGTCTACGTTATGACTTCATAATTCAATACTTCGTGTATGTTTTGCGATGTTGTATTTTGTTGTTGTTTCCTGTGTGCGGAGAAATGGTAAGGCCATACTGAGCTGCCATGCTGCACTAGCGCCATTCCTAGTGCATGAACAGACTTGCTCGCACCTGTTAATACGCATCGCGACCTAATGGCAGATTCCAGCACCAGCATGGAACATTCAAACCAAATTATTTCTAAGCCTCATACTGATACCCTGCCGTAGGTAGCATCAACAGCACAACACCAAGTTAATCAGTAATTTATTTAAATGACCTTAATCCGTAATTATTA